TTCCGCCAAAAGAAAAAAGAAAAAAAAAAGAAGAATCTTTCTCAGTGAAGGAGGGAAAAACCTAAGGTTTGAGATATTTTTATTTTTTAAGGCTTACATTTTATCAAGTAGTGTTAAGAAGTTGTACCTTTTGTGCTTTTTCTTAGATTTAACCCAATAGGATTTATTTAGTTACTTAGCTCTTTGATAAATGAAATATCCATCCCTCTTCCCTTCCCAAAATGTATTTTTGGGTTGTAAAATATTTCATAATTCCAGATTTACCTGATGTTCATATTCTTTCAGCATAAGTTGCTAATGTAAAAGTTCAAATACAACCAAAAGGACAGTATCAGTGTGCTATTACAATAGCATATTACTGGCTTACAAATTTCTTCATTGAAAATGTTTAAATATAGTTGGTGCTGATAAATCAAAAATTGTTCAGTTAAAATGTTTTAAACCTGAAATTTTTATCTTAGCATGAGCTTGCTGTGCATAAAAAGAAAATTGAAGAAGTTGAAAACTGGTTAAAAGCTGAAGTCTTGGAAAGGCGACCAGAACAGGTAATATGAGTTTCTGTTTTTCTTTTTTGTTTTTTTTTTTTTAAAGAAATATGTTTTTAAAAATTGAACATCTGGGCCAGCCAAATAGCTTAGTAGATTAAAACACCTGCAAGGGCCAGGAAGATAGCTCAGTAGAATAAGTGCTTGCCTAGCAAGCGCAAGATCCTAAATTCAATCCCTGGTACTGCAAAAAAAATAAAATAAAATAAATTTGCCTACAAGCAGGCGCAGGGGCCAGGGGCTCCATCCCTGGGCGTTCCCTGCTGGCCCCGCCCCCGGGACGCACTGAGACACTGTTGAGATTGGGAGTGGTGCCAGCCGGTAATCCCAGCTCTTGGGAAGCTGTAAATAGGCAGATCACTACAAGTCTGATCTAGTAGTGAGACCCTGAACACGCTGTAGAGCCTTCCCCTAAAAATAAAATAAAATAAAATAAAAATAAAAATTGAACATCCACAGTTTCCCTGCCCTATTGTAAGTCAGAGAAAGGGAAATCAGATGCCCTGAAGAGCAACCTCACGGCCTGGTGGTGCCCAGTCTCACTAGAAGCCTGAGGGCTGGGTGCTTCCTTGGGGTTTGTGCTGCTTTCTGTATCTCCACACCTCCTGTCAGCAGGTGGTACAGGGAGCCGACGGGACTGCTAGCTGGCTTAGCACTTAAGTTTATCTTACACTGAAGCATACAGGCAAATTACACATTACTTTTTTACTAAATATGGCCTGAAACAGTCATCATTCATTTTGGACTGGTGTTTTTGGTTTCACTTCCTAAATTTGCAGCAGTCTTCATACCCCGCAAAAATATTCTCTCATTCTCTTATTCACCTTTCTAAATTCTTTTTTTTTTTTTTTTTAATTTTTTTTTGCTTTAAAAAACCAGACCAATTAGGATCAGATTGCCCTCACACCCCTGTATAGTGAAATATTGGTTTTTTTGTTTGTTTTTTTTTGTTTTTTGAGACAGGGTCTCACTATGTAGTTCAGATTGACCTTCAATTTACTAGCCTAGGCTCATGGTGATCCTCCTGCCTCAGCCTCCCAAGTTCTGAGATTACAGGGGTGTACCATGATGCCTGGCTAAGATTTTTATTTTAATGTTATAAATATAGGAATATTTTATTTCCATAACAGTTCAGTTATGCAGAAATACGTGATTATTTTGTTTTCAGAGTAGTTCCATTATATAAAGGGAAAAAATATAATAATATTTACATAGTGTCTTTGTTTCAGGTGACAGACTGGGTAGACCCATCATTTGACGACTTTTCAGAAACTACAGCCTTCTCTGCTATTCCTGCTGCGTCTTTAGGGGTGTATAACTCAAGTCACAGGAGGAAAAACGTGCCTTCCACACTGGAAAGCAGCAAAGCCCCAGCTAGAAAAAGAGGAAAGCTATCTTCCTTAGAACAGAGTTATGGTCCAGAAAATTTCAAAGAATATTTGTCTGAAAATGAACCATGGGTAGATAAATATAAACCAGAAACTCAGGTATGAAATAGCATGCAAGTATGTGTATGTAACTTAATTTAGGGGTAGATAAGAAGGCGAGAAATGCCCATTTTCACATTATTACTTATAAGAATCTTTCTCGGGCTGGGGAGATGGCTCAGAGGGCCTGAGTTCAATCCCCAGTTCCGCCAAAAGAAAAAAGAAAAAAAAAAGAAGAATCTTTCTCAGTGAAGGAGGGAAAAACCTAAGGTTTGAGATATTTTTATTTTTTAAGGCTT